CAATTGTTGCAGAATTGTGTGCCGTTTCCGGAGGCGAAACAGCGAAAGCTACAAACGGGAGACAAGATAGCAGCACAATTCTGAGCCTCACGACACTCTAGCTCTCGCGAACAGTGTCCGGCGTGGGGACAGGAACGCGCCAAATGAGGAAAATGGAACCACTGTTTCGTTGATACCAATCAATCAATGTGAGTGGGCTCGTTTGTGACAAGTCATCCGCAGATGCAGGATATTCAATTGTCAACGTGTCACGCATGGTACCACCAAAATGTCTCTCCGCAGTTCTTTTGATCGAAGGCAAAGCCATTCGATTCCAGTTAGACACTGGTGCTGCTGTCAACATCCTACCAAGGAAGCACTGTGTCGAAGTGTGCACTCGATCCGATCAAGGTCGCTTGCGCATGTGGAAGGGTTCCAGACTTCCTCCGAAGGGCTCGGCTACAGTCGAAGTGGTTAACCCAAGGGACGGAGCCTCCTGCCGACTGAAGGTTGTGGTCGTGAATGAGGAGCTCACGCCGATTTTCGGCATTGATTGGATCCAGTCTCATGGTTTTGCTGTTTTTCATCATAACCGTTTCGTGCATGCTTGTTTGTTTACTAGGGAGAAAACTATATTAGTGACCAGTATCCGTCTGTGTTTAGACCGGGTTTGGGGAAATTTGAGGGAACCGCACACTTGTCTTTAGATCCTTTTGATACAAGCGACAGCGCTACCGGCTAGGAGAGTTCTATTTGAGTTGCGTGACAGGTTCTGTACTGAATTGAGCAAATTAATGAGAGAGGGTGTGATTGCCAATGTCGACGAGCCAACCGAATGGGTTTGTCAGATCTCAATCCTTACGAAGCAGACGGGCGAACTGCGTGTGTGTATTGACCCGAAACCATTGTATGAGGCCCAGCGTAGAGAGCATTATGCGCTACCTACCCTAGAAGACATCTTGTCGCGCCTAGCCAAAGCTAACTGGTTCACGAATATAGACCTGTCTTCCGCATTCTTGCACGTGGTTCTATATGAAGAATATAATTTCCTTACTACATTTGAGACACCTTTCGGTCGTTATTGTTTGATGAGTTTACCATTTGGTTTGAGGTTTTCGAGTGAAATTTTCCGGAAACCATTGCTGCAATCGGTAGACGATTCAGAGGATGTAACATGTGTGGCAGACAATGTTTTGATCTATGGCTCACCATTAGACGAGCATTACGCTAATCTCCACCGTTCCTCGCAGCGTTATGTGCAAAAGAAAATCAAGGTTAAACTCGAGAAAATTGAGCTTCGGAAATACGAGGTGATTTTCTATGGGTATGTGCTAACCACCCAAGGGATCCGGGTGGATCCAGAAAAAATTAATACAATACGAGAGATACCACTCCCTAACGACGTGAAGGGGTCCATAGTTTAAACGCCGTGGGGAATTATGTGATCTAAAATTTTTCCCTCCAAGTGATTTTCAGGGTAGGAAATTTACTATGTGGACATCCTTCCATATGCATTACCATTGTGAAAAAGTGACTATGGGTCATCTGACGCGGTCACTAAACTCATGAAGCCATGCTTGGCTAACCACGAACTCGGTCTGGTCACACCGAGTGCGTTAGAGCCACCGAATCGCTGCGCCTTCGGCAAACCGCAGTAAGCGAGCAGTGTTCTTTCCGTTGGGTATTCAGAAGGCCTCATTGGGGATTTGGCACGTTGAGCAGTCGTTTAAGTGTAAAGCAACCGAACTGGTGTATTTCTGTCTTCGTCGTATATCCTATGCACCATTCTCGGAGGGCGATATTCTCCATGTACGAAATTTTCCCTGTACGCAATTTTCCGTGTACGTCTTTTTCCGTGTACGCAATTGTTGTCTACACTTTCATTATGGAACCGTCTGTGCCATGGAGCGTTTCAACAAGTATACTTTCGGAACAAAGACAGTTGTGTATACCGATAACAAACCGCTTGTGTCGATAGCCAGTAAACCGCTGCACATCGTCCCGCGTCGCCTTCAGCGTATGCTTATCCGGCTTCAAATGTACTTCGTGGATATTGTGTACACACCTGCTGCACAGATGTTCATCGCGGACACGCGGTCAAGTGCTAATCTACCGGTACCTGAGCATAATCCAGAAGAGGTAAAAGTAGTAAACTTAGTACAACATCTGGCAGTGACGAAAGAGAGTATGAATGAAATAAGACGCTACACAGAGGAAACTGCAACAATTGCAGCTTGGCGATACGTTATTATAAATGATTGGCCAAACACGAAGAAGCAGCTGCCGAATGAACTACAAACCTGCTTCGGTTTTCGGGATGAAATCTGTCCTTGGTGGTTTACTGTTCCAGAGAAGCCGTATTCTGATTTCGTCCTCGCTCCTAGGAGAAATGCTGAAGTACGTTCATGGCGCTCATCTGGGTGCCAACTCTCTCCTTAACTGAGAAAGAGAATTGATGTTTTGGAAAGGAATGGCTGCTCAAATCAGCGATCATGTGTCGAATTGTCAAGCGTGCCAAGGGAATCAATGCTGCTGCGTAATGTCCCTCATCGACTGTGGCAGAAGCTTGTGGTGTATTTATTCTGTGACAACGGGAGGGATTACCTACTCACAGTGGATTACTATAGTGATTATTTTGAAATCGATTTACTCACCATTACGACCACAGAAGCAGTACTCAACAAGCGCTGATATCAATTCGCGCAACACGGAATACCGGAAGAGCTGGTCTTCGACAATGGTCCTCAGTTTACTAGCCCGTCGTTCCAGGCATTCGCGCACCAGAACACGAGCCCATTTCACAGCCAATCGAATGGAGAGGCAGAGTCAGCAGTGAAGCAGGCTAAACGACTCCTATTAAGGGCTAGAGCTTCTGACGAAGACCAGCACCTCATGCTACTGGAGAATCCCAACGCTCCTTCAACGGACATCGGCTTCAGCCCAATGCAGTGCGTATACAATCAAATGACTAGAATGTTGATGCCGGCATCTGCCACACTTCTGCGCCCAGTTTCGCCACAGCATGAGATTACAGAACAATTTGAGAAGACGCATGGCCACCCAGAAACGGTACTACGACCGCGGTGCACGGATACCGCCTGAGCTGAAAGTGGGGGAAGAAGTGTGGGTTAAACCTTATGGTTACGAGTGGTGGAAGAAAGGTGTGTTGACTGTGAAGATCAATACAAGCTCATACTAAGTAAATGTTGGATGAAAAACGTTCAGAAGAAATCGAGCCCGTTTGAGACGATACCGGGGACACCAAGGTGGACTGGGCGTGGAGCTCCCGATGGCGTCTGGCAAGGAGAGCACGGCCGGAGATACAACGAAGATGAAGCGGAGTGGAAAGAGGTACGGGGTGTATAGAAATATGGAGGCACAATGTCACGAAATGGAAGCATGTGATGGGAGTATCACACCAGAGTGAACGAATGGGCAAACCGAGCGAGCCAGATAGCTAATAGGAGAAGGGTGTAACTGAGTTGATTACTGGACATAGATTGACTAACATTCATTTGAATTACTCAACGTTTGTTTAGCGGAGTCAAAGGGAGAACCACATTTTCTCAGAAGAGTCGTTAATTATGGACGTGAACGCATAACTTATATCGAGGAGTTTGGCTTGCCAAACGTGCTGTGATTTTCACCGAGTTGTCTTTGTCGAATAAACGTTTATCCTTGAAGGATTGAGTACTGTAACAAATCCTACCACGGTTTTTGTTTTGTACGCCATTGGGTTCTGTATTCTAACAATTCCCCAAGCTGATAACAGAGATATTCCAAAGGATTTCGTTGGACGAGTACCTGCTTTGCATTTTACTGCCGCTGTCGATCAAGGGCAATCTATATGGCTAGTGAATGCCAATCGTGAGTGGAGCACGTAATCCATGGTCAAAATAGGTTATGGTATCGAGCAGAGCGAACTATATCCGCGGGGTGTACAAGAAGTGGCGGACGAATGTAGCCGACGGGAGCGCCCGGCATCACAATAACTCATCGGGCAAATAGATGCAGAATGGGAAGTGGTAAAACAATACTAATTTATAGGCGATCGAGCGGTAATGAAGTGTAAATAAAAGATAAAAATTATCTTTCTGGTCACTGTAACCCGTAGTTTCCTAATATTCTCAAGTTTTGCACAAATACTTTCCCATCTGTTTGGTACCACTAGCTTTAAACCTGAGTGGTATAAGCTGTGGCAAATCGGAAACTGTAAAACGTGTCTTCCGCACTTTTCCATCAGATGACGCTTTTGCTTTTGCTTCAAATATCCGCCAATAGTAGAAGCTCTGATCTGTCCCTAAACATGGGGCGCCATTCGGAAAGGAAAAGACGTGTCAAATTACGGTCGAATTCACTGACCGTTTCCTCCTTATCGCTTCCACATGAAGCAACTGAATACTTCGAATCTCCGCCCTAGTATTTGTCGGCTTCGTTTATGTCAATGAAGACAAAAACCTGAAAGCCGGGAGTCAATTCTGTGGAACTCTTCCTTGGCCTCAAGTGCATCTGTGCAAAAGCAATAGCGCTGACGTGATTTTATCAGCGATTCAGTTCATACCAGCCTACTATGTGCATTGCAAGCCTATGTTGAATCGATTTTCTGTTTCGTTTCGGGTAGGAAGAACGTGTCTCCGCTGATTAGCGACACAACAGATTCAACATTAGGGCATGTATCTCGTACAAGTGCATGTTTCTTTCTATATTTCTGTGACGGAAAATTGGAAGTCTGTTAACGCTCAGGGGATGCTAAGTGAGCCCTTACTACCTGTCTTCCCCGTTTTTGTTGGAAGTCATCTCATATTACGAATGGCCTTTCCTCTGGTCTTAGTCCATATTTCAGAACTGTATAGCAAAACTGTGTTCGCACAAGCCCGTGCCCCCCGATATCGTCATACCTCGTAATTGTGTGATTGAGTGTTTGTGTTTTCGGATTGACGACACATTGTTGTCATCCCAGTCTACTTGGTTAATACCTTTTCTCTGTCCATATATCCTATGTCACACAGGAGTCCAAGATTATGACATTGGAGAATGAGATTCGACTACTAGAAGATGAAATAGCACGTCTGCGAGATGATGGACTCGTCACACCAAATACTTCAACAAGTAGTGGAATTGACGACTTGGATAGGACGCTACAGGCATTCCGAAGTAATGAACGACTGCTGAAGTCGAAGGTAAGCAGTTAGTTCTGACTGCATATTGCTCAGGTATATATTTAGGCACTGTTAAATTCCAATCACTTTTTGATCCCTGCTGAGGCTTGTCTGCTGAGTATGATGGACAGGTGGCTGTACGCAAAGTTATGCTACACTTGGCGTTCTGCCAGAAGGGAGCATACGGATTGCCGAGCGAATGCAGTCCGCAACAGCCAAGCTCATTGCCTGGGTGTAGCGAGATTTTATTTATCTATGAGTATGTGAACTTCACCGCACGTGCACGCGTGGTTAACCTCAGTGATCTGAACTCGTTGATGACGGACACGACCGGCACTGTCTTTGCGCAAATGCTTGGCGCGCACATGAGACCGAACTTGGAATACGCTATCGAAGTGTAGCAGCTCTGGCGGAAGCACCACCTCACAGCGCTCACGATTGCACAACACAGAGAAACAAAAAAGGTTAAATCTTTGCCAAATTTTCCCTACCGATTCAAGCTGAAAACTCTAGGAGTGTACCGTGGACGTTAAATAGGTCTACGGGGCGATCCAATAGTGGCGTGGCAGATTCTAAAAAATCCAGCCACACTTGCTACACTACCTTTTGAAACAATCCAAATACATTTCTGAGGTATCATCCGTTTAAACTAGCCACACAGTACAACCGAATAGGTTGTCTGCATGTTTTCTTCCTCCGATTGGTACAGCTCTGGAACTCATTTCCAGTGCACGTAACTAATGCCCACACCTTATTACTACACAAAAGAGGACTAAACGCCACACTGGCACGTTTGCACTACGGAATATAACATGTCATCAGATGATGGTATTAGTACAGAACAGACGGTGAATTGTATCAAACTCTCGTTAAACCCCCGATAGGATTACTCACATCAGTACTGCAACAAGCCTCACGGTGAGTCAAGTACTTTGAGTGTTCTTTTATCCACAGTGCTTTTATCTTATTCTTTTCACCATAATCATTCTACAGGACTTGTCACGCGTTTGATTTCTTTTCATTGCTCTAGTGTCGGCCATATGGCATATCTGTTCCCGTTTGGACCGGTGCCACATTCATATCACTGAGACGCGCATTATCACCCTGAACATTTACACAAACTAATTCGAAAAGGTTTCAACAGGTCTGCAGACTATTTCCCCGTGTTATCAACTAAGCGCTATCAGAATAGCGGAAATTAATCATAAATAACTTGAGGGAAATATAGCTATATGCAAACACAGCCTTTTATGGACACCGGTCTAAGTGCTACTACCCCAAATGCATTACACCAGGCTGGCTATTCACCCCTAGCTGCATGATGCTCCATGATGCTTTCATAGTTACTATTATTTATAGTAGTCTCATCACCTTGCAAGTATCTCCTAATGTTCTATAATTATTGTATCCATTTTCCTTTGATCGATGAGCGGATACCCGGAATAGAGTAAGTGGTATCCAACTACTGCACTTGCCATGAGTGAAGACTCAAATGTGCAACTGAATGCATCTCATCTGAATCATGAAACTGGACTCCTGTATGTGCTCATCTGTGCATTGACAGTCATTATCTGATAGCACATGAAATGTTGCATAACAGTTTTCAGGCCATTTCGCTTGCTAGTACTTCTCGTAGACATCATCTGTCGTTCCAGTGCAACTAAAGCACTCGGCGTGCATGTTCCCATGAGATTTTACTGCAAAGTATAACGCTCTATGAATATCCTTTATTGTATTGTAATTCGCTCACCCAGTTATCAAGGGTAAAAGCGGATTTCAAACTGTCGTTTGAATTAGAAAGTCTCTTGTACAATGAAAGATTGGTTTTAGGTGGAAATGCTGACCGGGGAAATTTCAAAGCGAGATTGCGAAATATACACTCTTCAGTCGCGGTTAGAGATGACTGACAAACAGCACCAAGATCAAACACATCACATCAACGTACTGAAGGAGCAACTGAAGACAAGAGAGCATAAAATCAGTATGTTAACTGCAGATGTAAGTTTCCTTTCCACTCCTCATGTTTTTCCGATCAATGGTTAGCTTTGACAAGAGAGGAAATGAACCGAGTACGTTCATGGCACCACTTGCACTCGTCGAAAAATAGAAGGTTGTGTTTAAGTACAGTGTAGACATTGCTCATATCCGTTTCACGTGAGACTGCACCAAGTCTGTTGCTCACAGCATCCTAACTCACCTTATCTGCGGTTGACTGCACTCGCCTTATCGTACTCCGTGTTCAAAGTACGGCCACCAAATTACGGGTTTCTGCGTCCCTGTACTCTAGCAAAGCATTTTCGTCTTATCCGAACACATTTGTATTCCCAGTAAGGATTCAACTGGCATCCTCTGCTGTTCCAAAACTCTCCCAACTATCAACCGGAGAGCAGGTATTAACCCCTCGTCCGAAAGCCTAAGTTATGCAAAACATGCATATCCGAGAAGTGCGTTGCTCACTTGACTTCGCCGAACGATAGAGGTCGACCAAATCATCATTTTCAGCCCACAGTACCACGAAATAGGGGTGCAGCGAATGATAGTGAAGTATCTAGTCATGGATATTGAACCACTTAGGTGAACGTTTCGATTAAATGCCTCCGTTCTCCTAGTTTTTGGTTGGATTTGCCAGCCGTGGTCGGTAGAGCTCGAGAAAGCCTTGGAGAGATGATGAACTAAAGACAGCTCTCACGCACATCTGTCAACCCAAGACCATGCTGTTTATTCGCCTACTTGGTGCAAATACGTCTAATGCATGGTGTTGTGACGCCGAGTACGCCTTCACCCCACGACCGCAAGAAGAAGTCCAAGATGAGCCGGGATGAACAGATTTTCTATTACAGCACGGCACCATGTATATAGCTTTACAAACAAGGGCGAAGCCAAGCTACTAAACGCATGAGGTCCAACAGACATGGAGAAAACACAAAATGGAACAAGCAAATGAGAATCGCAAAAATTACGAGCCAATGAAGTGCGGCACAGAAAATAGTATCTGCGGAGTAAATCCCTGGGGGTAACCTTCTGGTGAGCGACCATTAAAAACGACGAGTAGCGTCCAATCAGTGTGGAGAAGTGATGCGTTTAAACAAATGCCAGAACAGTTGATAGTGAGAATGATACAAACCAGGAAAATAAAAACAGGTATAATAAATATGTGTCGGCTGAATAATACATCCACGTGAAAAGCTAAGAAACGCTGAACAAAGGAAACCAATCAGAATGTCCACAGAATGAGACGGCTGAAATTAGCTGTGAGCGGTTGCGAATGAGGATGAGGAAAGCGGCGTGTCCAAAATGTAGCACAGAAGCAGCTAACTGCGCAAACAAAGAAATAGGCAACTAACATAATTCATGAAACTGAGGGTTAGTAGCCAACTCCCTAACACATGGACACAGTGAAATAAGTTGTAACTCACAAATTGGAAAATGTACGTCCGCATGTTCTGGAGTTTCATACGCTACTCCGAATGAGGTGCGTGAATGAAAGAGTTGCTTGACTAGTCATCCGTTTGGGGGGACTTAGCCATTTGCCAATAATGGAAGCCAAGTGCCATTGGCTCAGTAAAACACCATGTGCAATAGAATAAGTTTTTGTGCATCTCAAAGTACTTGCACTAACTTTATTGGAACTAAAACGATGACTCTACGAGAACAAACCATTAAACATAAATGTTGCAAAATATATCAATCAGGTTTGTGCTGAATCGATGCACTTTTTTCATGTGGCCCATGCTGTCTGTTTCTCAAAAGCATGCCGTCGTATGGAAAAACCAATCGTAAGCCAGTTCTGTGAATTCACCAATATCTACTTGTCACTCCTGTTTTGAGGTTTTATCAGGTACCCTGATAAGGGAACGAAGGGTGTGTATGACGGTAGTTGCCGTCCCATGACATGCAACATTCCAACACAGTGGTAAGGTTTTCTGGAAGTCGTCACAATATAGCTGGTTAATTATCCCTACGGCCGCCCCATCAGGTATTTTTTCCAAGGCACATCGGCCGCAGGCACTCAGATATCTCGGACAGGAAATAAGATATTGACTTCCTCATCCCGAAACAGTGGTTGCGAACACTAGAAATTGATGGACACCGTCAGCTAAGGTGAATAGGTACATACTTGTGTGATGGTCTGAAACGGTACCGGCCGCTAAGCAAGTTACTATCTCGCTGAGGGATAAGCACCGTCAATGAAATCCCCCCATACCTTACTGGTCTGCGCTACCATCAGAGTGAACTTCTGCAGAATCAGAATGACTTAGGGGACCTTTTCTTCATAAGGAATCAAGCATTCCACATTAGCTTCATTGCTCGCCGTTTAATGAACGTCTTTTTTAACTATTTTACCGTAGACAGAGGATTTCCGTAAACGCTTGAAGGAGAAGGAATCACAGTTGGAGAAGAAGGCGAAAGGAGCATCCGCAACACAAGCAGCAAAGCGTCAACTAGAAGGCGAACTGACCGACCTGAAGGATCAGCTGGATATCAAGGAGCGGAAGTTGTCGCTGCTGCAACGAAAGGTAACTCACTAATTTCGACATCATAGATACTTATTACACAATTGTTCTGTACATGAAACGATTCATAATGGCCGTCTATACTTCGTTAGACACCATTTCTTTGCTGCTGTTGTCTCATCAAGCTTTTGAGCGGCAACAGCTTAACCTGCGACTCATCATGCGACCTACCAATCCATGGGTGTGTCAGCGAACCGCTGTGTGCAGTCTACGCGAACGACTTCTTAGTGCCTTCCACCAAGGCAGGTCCTTTTAATTCAAAGAACTGCATGTTGCCCCAGTGGTAAGGCCTCTTTCCCAACAGCTACTCCGTGTCGCATATGATGGCACTGTTTATAGCCCGAGAATAATGCACAGGTGCCGATGGTGCAAACAACCGAAGATGCTTTAACTGCATCTACGATCCGAGTAGCACAAATTATGGATCATCGCTTGAAAGTCAATCCAGCACCTATTTTAAATATGATGTCCAACTCTAAACACACAAAAGGCACTAGAATATTAAGAGTCCATGCTTAACTATTGTGTGAAACGTGCATAGCTACAGGCAGTTGAAGTCGTGCATCACAAGATCAACCGTGTCTTTTGCAACTTCGTTACTTGCATAGCGATAGACGATGAGACGCGCTTTTTGTAATTTGCTTGCAAATTATGGCGGTCCACCAGTGCCCCATGGCTGAATGGATTAAGCTGCCGGGTTGCTGTGAAAGTCTCTGGTGGAGTGGGGTTTGAATCCCGGTGGATATGATAGATGTGTAACACTGACGAAAACCAAACGGAAGAAACCATCAAATGGGACTTACCGGGCATGTGAAGGACTATCTGATTTGAAAGTAAGTGTGAAGAAACAGCCAACCGTTTACATCAAATATCCTCAACCCAATATATATATATATATATATATGGCTGGTGGCATCCGGTTTCGGATTTGCCTGTCACTGTGGCCAGCCACAGGACGCCTGCGCCTACAGAGGGACCACGGATGGCTTGCGCTGCACCACCCACAGCTCCAACCACACACCCCATATCCAGTGTAAACCCGAAGGAATAAGACCGGTAAACATGTGGTTGGGAGCCACGCTTCATCAACGGAGCCGGCCCACACTCCTTCACAGGCAAACACAAGCACGCTGTATTTGGGAATCAAGCGCACACAAGGCGATGGCTGGACCGTAGTCCGCTCCATATTAAGTGCATGGAACCACTCTTCGAGCCTAGCACGCTCACAAGGACCGTGCTCCCCATCCACTCCAGCAACCACCAACTGTATCCTGGGGCCAGTATGGACGAGGTAATGGGTAATAGACAGGTAGGCATCTTGTTAACATGCACATAAAGCTCAGCCACACCAGGGATATCAAGCAACAGCCGTTCACTTGAAACGATAATATTAAATAACATAAATCGAAGAGTGCATACAGATATGCCAACTATAGGTTCAAGACGCCAGAAAATATATTTTAAGAAAATGCCACAAACGCGAAAATGTTATCGAATGTAACTACGATTAACTTGAGCTACTTGCGCAAATTAATAGATAGTTTACTTAGGCAAGAATGTGGCAATATAGCAAACCCACCACCTGAAATAAAGAGACTTAGCATGCAAGCACGCTGTTAGTAAATCGAATGCAGCGTACCTACAAACGCTGCGCCGGTTCTGCCTACGTTCTCTACAGGACCCGTCGTCGCTTCGGTGGTGGTCCCGAGTGCCTCGCTCATGGCTCACTAGGCCTGCCTGATTCAGGCACTCGCGACCGCATGTGCTACAGCACCATGCGCTCGATGTCGATGGAGTACAACCCATCGGCGTTTGCCGCTTCCGCACTTGCCGCTTCTTCTCCGCATGTGTGAGGTCTTTCTCCCGCATCTCGGCAACTGTCTTCGTGATTGAATCGTGCGATGCACGCCGATCAACCGCCTTCGATTCCCATGACCTGCGGTCGAGATTAAAATGTGAGCGGCACACTTTGCCCATGTCCTGGTAACGAAGCTTCGGTTTTCCCGCATGCTGCTTTCCAACACTCGCTGACCATATATATATATATATATATATATATATATATATATATATATATTTATATATTTATATATTTATATATTCTGATGAGTGTTTTGATACAACAATCTCAACACGCAGACACACGCACAGGCCAGCTGCGACGACGATGCGGCACATGTACTACCTCAACTGCCTTATTAGCCTGTGTTAGTAAATATAGTGAGATGCAGCGAACTTACCAAGCGCAAGGCTGATGAAGACATTAAGCTTGCTCGTCTTCTCTTAGATTTTGACCTAACGTGCTGACGCTATTGGCTTAAGAAGCCGGCTTGGCTCAACCACTCGCGATCGCATGAGCTACAGCACCATGCGCTTGACGTCGATTGACTGGAATACATCGGCCGGTATCGCTTCCTCAGTCGTCATTTCTTTTCCGCATGTAGTACTTAGAGAAGAGTAGTAGGGGGAGTTGAATGGTATAGGTAGAAATTCGTCACATCTACACTCAGACAGTCGCCACACGCCCGGAAATGCACTGTACGTGCGTTTTATCCATACAACCTTCCGACTACTCTTCTGTAATCAGCACTCAGACCAAACGGCTTATAATGCCATAAGTTAATTGGCAGCTTAAGTTTAGTTAGCTCGTCGCTTGATGAGAGGGCTACCCTGTCCTCTGCACGACAATAACGTGTAAGCCAGTGGATCTAAGCGGCGCTATATCGCATCTAGTAACCTATCCACGATGGTCGTTGCCATCCCCCGTAGCTCAGTGGTCTCAACCACGGACTGAAAACAGTAGGGTTGCGGGTTCGAGCCCTACCAAGGTCCGATGGAATGCACACTGCTGACGATTCCTGAAAGGATGAAACGCGTGTACGGTACTTTTCCGGGCGTGTGGCGACTGTCTGAGTGAGTCTAGATGTGAAGAATTTCTGCCTATATAGTAAGTAGTTCTGAGGCATCTGGACACCCGCCCTCTTGATATTCTCTCGCCATCGGCGCCGATCCACCGCCATCGTCTCCTAAGACCTAAAATCAATACAAGCTCGTGATAAATTCACCTTGCACATGTCCAGATGACGTAACCGCTTTTCCCACCTTCCGCTTCCCTACACGCGATTGGCCATCCAGCAGTTGTTTCAATATCTAGCTCGGATCCATGCGGCGAACATGCCTGAGCCACCTCAGGTGTTGCGGCAGAAGTATGCAGTCCACGGCATACATGCCCTTGCGGCGCAGCACGTCCGTGTCTGCAACGCGGTCACCCCAGCCGATGTGCCGAATACGGCGCAGACACTCTCGTTGGAAGCGCTCCAGATAACGGACTCCTTTCAGTACAGCGTCCACATTTCGATTTCGTATAGGAAAGACAGCGCCATAGACTTATAAACCATAAGCTTCGTACCGGCAGTAAGCTGGCGATTTTATCACGCACGTTTTCCCAGCTTTCCAAATACGACAATCGCCTTCGATACGCGGCTGCGCAGATCGCACGTCATCTGCAGGTCGGTAGGCATTACGCTTCCTAGATAGCAAAATCTCGAAGTGGATTCCGGAAAGTCCTCGCCAATGTGGATTTGGAGCAGACCCACAGATACCACTTATAGAGGACGTTGAAAAAGACAAACAGACTTGCTTGTGTCGATGGTGAGCTCGAATGTGGCGGCTGTCAAGGAGAGAGACGAAGCCATGTCCAGCAACTCACCAACGCTGTGTGCAAACAACTCACAGTCGTAAGTAAAAGCGCAACATACTGAGGATTGTCTCACAAACTAGGGTTCTCACCTCGAAACGACGGGTGTTCAGCAACCCACTATCAATACGGTGCTCGAACAAACACCGTAAACACAGCCCGCATCAGAAACACGATACTTCATGCAGGAAGATAAATGTTAAGCAGGGCGGGGGCTAAGACACAGCTTTGCTTCAACGCAGAGACAACAACAAACTCCTCCGAGGTGTGTCTACTCAGTTGCACCCTAGTCTACATACCACTGTGCAGATATTCAAGTAAACTTACAAAATTACTCTTGCAACCAAACTTACCCAACACCAGCCACAATACCTCTCGGTTCACCGTGTCAAATGCCTTGGTAAAGTTTACAAATAGCGAGTAGAATGGCTGGTAAAGTTTTCGACATTTCTCCTGCAACTGACGAGCCACAAACACCATACTTATGGTGCTGTGACCCGAACGAAATCCACATTGCTTTTTCGCCACATTCAGTTCCACAACCTGACTGACGAGGCGGTTGATCAGGATCCGGACAGTCACCTTGCCCAAACAACTCATCAGGTTGGTGCCACGATCATTCGTGGTACATTGCTTGCTCACTTTGTCCTTGTAAAATGGTGGCATAAGGACATCCTTCAGTTCGGCCGGCGCTCTCTCTTCAATCAACACGCGTTGCGCCAGTTGATGGGGGTGCATGTTGCAAAGCGGGTCCATCGTGTTTTGACACTTCTGGCGGTATACCATCGAAACCGGCACACTTGCCGTTTTGCAGCTGAGAATGTGCTCTCTGCGCCTCATCTAGTGTCACTGTGTTAGTAAGGCATCTTTATTCCGTGTTGTTGTAGCCCGTGCAGAGTAAGCCAGTCAATCCTTGAACAGCTTTTCAAAAGACCATCAAATTGCATTCGCCATATCTGCATTTTACTGTAGTCTGTGTGTTGGTAGCACCTAAGTAGCATTGAGCAGCGTCCTCAGGGGCTGTAACGTTGGTCCATACACCACCTTCAAGGAGTCAAGGAATTCCTTGTGTTAGCGGCGTTCGACGTAACATTCCATCCACTTCGCCTTTTACGTCCACCTGGCATTCTTGATGCGACGAAGCTCTCGGGTCACTCACAGTCGAACTTAGCGAAAATGACTCTTCTTCTCTACACCTTTAGAGTCATCAACATTCGCAACGAGCGCTACGTTGCTCGTCGACACCAATATGTTGATGGTCGCACAGTTGACATCAAACCAATCAGACCACTTACAGTTTTCACGC